TATTACAACAATATCAACTTGTGAAACATTAGGGAATTGAAAATAAGCTGAATTCATAAGAGTGCGGAAAAACATCTGGAAACAAAGTCCTTGGTTGACGTACCTACTAATATGGTTCATCAATTGGCACTTGTTCTGCAAAAGGGATATATGTCTAAAAATATGGAAATTGAGTTAAGTCGTCTCTGATATCCAAAACAACATTTTCCACCTATGGGAAGTTATTGCAATGTGAAAAAGGTGACATTTACAAAATGTGACCATTTTTTGGTGGGAAGGGATATATATACACATATGACCACTCGCGAGAGCGACTTGGTGGAAGTTTTTGGTGAAAAGGGATGTAATTGTACTTACAGTTTTGTTGTTCATAAAACTATTTATGAAAATGGATATATGTTGACATACTTCCATCCTATGTTCTGGTGAATACTGTGGTGAGTTGTGAGAACAGGTATAAGTGGACTTATCTCCCTTCACAGGAATCATACCTTCCATATATTCTTAAATTTTAGGAGTTTGAGTATATTTATGCCCCTTTGCACAAGATATTTCTCACATAAGTAGTAGAGAAGAGAGATTTGAGTGAACATATATCCGACCACAGCATATATTTCAGCCCAGTACACATCGGATGATAGAATTATACTTATTTCCCTTTTCACTACTTCCGCAATGACAGGATTCAACATGTAAATATTATTCTCAGATGATTTTGTTCAATGACCAATGAATTACAGTGATGTGAGGACATATGTTGTATACCGAAAAAATATTTTGTATTGTTGATGATTCGGAATTGAGACTATGTATTCCAAGCGGATTCAATTACTGAGAGATTTTGTTGATGGTGCAAGTGCAATAGAAGATATCAGGCTACCATTTGTTTTATCAAAATATAATGACAAAGGATGATATTCCAAATACCATTTCATCTAGTGATGAAGACTCTGAATGATTAAATCTCCATTGGTTTTTCATTCAGATTCTTCTATAAGGCAATATACCTCTTATTCATATTTGAAGCTGTTTTTGTATTCTCATATAACTAATAAAGTTCACTTTCGTATTTGATATATTTTTCCAATCTTTCGACTTTACGTGAGGAAATCCTTTTATGTTAATGGAACCTCGTGTGAGACAGCAGAAAAAAAGATTTTTTGGTGGTAATAGTAATTTTCCTAACAAGTGCGGAAAGTTATTCTTTCCCGCACGCGGCTGCCGTTGATACGAACGACGCGAAGCGGAGTTCGGGCACGCAGTCGAGTGCTGGAAAGACACTTTCCGCATGAGTTAGGAACAATATTTTTTCTACAAGAGTAGGAAATTGATTGATTCGTTCAATTAATTATTCATGCAAATATCAACAGCTAACAAGAGAAATATATTCTCTATCTACTAATTATTAGTAATAGCTATTGTGAACTTACAGTTTGACGCATTATGTTGGTTCATTGCGGAAGCCAGCAGGCCCATAAAGAGTTTGGTGTCTAGGTTTCAGACACTTCTATGAAATAAGCCAAAAAATACCTATTCTTCATTCGGTATTTTCATTTCATTATTGTTGCACCATTCAATAAAACGCGTGTATAGCTTCTCATACCTTTCTCAAGACTTCGTTGGTAATAACGCATCTGTATCGAATCCCTATAGCTAGAAGTTTTTGATCACATTGTGGCATTCTCACTGAATCGAAAATGACAGTAACGCTGTGTCTGTCACTTCGACAATTTCAAACTTATTTGAGGTTTGACTGGCATGACAACAATAATCGTTTTCCATCAGATCAATCAAAATCTATAGGGGGATTTTTACAATAATACATTTTTATTTCTCAATACTTCTTAATTTTCACAATGAATAGTGCAATTTGATGGATGATTCTGAACATACATACTTAATACTACAACAAACAAACTTGAACTTTTATATTCCAACACCAACCACTCATATTATTAGCAATTTTATCATATCTTTGTTTTCCCGCACTTTTGCGGGAAAATTACACTTCCGAAACTAAATTGCGTGCGGGTATAGGGTGAATCACGCACGCTTGTAGAAAAAAATCTGATAACAATTCGGAAGTTCGAGAGTTCAGCATATCTCGAGCCTGATAATTTCATACACTACTCAAATGGGGATAAGGGGTATATGTTAGTTTTTTCACTGTAATTCACGCGGGAATGGATACAAGTCGAATATTTTTCTGCTCAAAACTGAAAATTTGATGGTTCCTTGAAACAGATTATCGAGGTCGTAAACAAACATATCATCATATCGTGAAAGGTTTTCATGCGAATATATGTGGAGAAAATGCGAGCATGTTAACCTTCAATCTCGATTTCCCAAAACTACAGGCTTTGGATTATACCCCTTTTCCTACGCAGGTGCCAATTATTGTTTATTTGTTGAAATCGGCTGAAAACTGTCGTAATTACATATTGTGATATTCTTTTCCAAGAGATTACGTGATTATAACGAGTCTTGTACCAAAATTTTCCCAGATCTCACATAGCTTCCATTGCGTAATCGGTGCATTCTTTCGGCTTGCACTTGTTCGAATATATCAGGAGAACCGCAGGCACTTTTAAACGGAACTTTTTTGCTCCAAATATTACATACATACAAGCCCCGGCTATTGCATTACACTTTCTCTTTCAATTACCCGATATACATGACAGAAACAAGAATAATGGAGTTTTCATATAATATTAGGCAATGGGGCAATAGCATGAAAAAATTTGAAAATAAAATCTTTACTGTCCAAACAGGTTGAAACCTATACTTCAGGACAAGTAAAAAGACGTGATGAAAAAATATACGGAATGTCTAGTAGTTCTGTTGAAGAAAATGAAACAAATGATGGGAAAGATATGAATAATCTGATTCAGCAGAACAAGAAAAAAGTAATGGTGATGATAAAAAATATATATATATATATGATAAGTTATATAAGTCATGGAAACCATCCATCCTTCTCAAAGTGGTCCAGATTTTTTCAAAGAAAAAACAAAACACTAAGTCGGTCGACCACAAAGTTTAATTACAAAAGTTTTACTTATTGTGACTAGTTTCGGCTCGAACAGCCATCTTCAGACACAGTATACAGTACCTGTAAAGATATTGGTTTACAAGAATAATATAACATGTTTAGGAAAAAACATACCTATAAAAGGACACGTGGAATCAGATAATTAATTGAATTGAAATTTGAGTAGCAGGGTCATTTGGCCAAAAATTCAATCCGGTTAAAATATTAAAACTTTTTGAACCGTCTGAACAGCCAAAAGAACCCAATTATCATTAGATTCAACATTGACAAAAATTGTTAAACACCAACATAATTCACTCAAAGGAGTTTCATCTTAAAACAGGGTTGGCACGAATTAATTCATATGAATTAAGTCAGTGATTTAATTCGTGAATTAATTCAAATGACTTTCTTCAAATAAGTCGTGAATTAATTCAAAATTTATCAAATGGGAACAAATCGCATTATTACCTTCAATTTAAACTAGTTCAAAATGAAATATCCGATGGCAGCTGACAACTGACAACCGTGAAGCACCACACGCGGAAAACAAAATTTCCTAGGAGCCGCTTTACAGTTCACAATATTTCATTCATGCATTTGATTGCTCCAATTCATATTTCCGGCAAAAATAATATGTAGGCTTTTCAACACTGAATCGGAATTACCAGCTTGCAATGTCTTTTTGTCATAGATTCTGTGTATTACTTCTCACCGAGTTTTGAGTTGGGTCAAGAGTTGGGTAGAAGAAACCATGAGAAAGGCAAGAAAAGTAAGATCCAATGTGTATCATCTAAAGATGAGTGAAATTCCGAAAAGCTAACATGTCACCACTAGAATTGCACCAGTAATACAAATTACCACATTATAAATAAATAGGTCCGGACTCATTTCTTGCAATGCATCGAAAAATTGTTTTCCAAGGTGACACCAATCCGTAGGCGCGCCATGGAAATTGCTGCATTTTATTGAAAATAACTGTAAAGCGCCTCTATAATGAAGATTGTCAATGAGTAATTCAAGTTGCATAAACATCATTTTTCATTCAATAAATAGTCTCAGTTCATGTTGCAAAAATGGCATATTTTAATTATTTATTGTCATGCTTTGAGATTTTCAACGAAAACAAAAACTTAGCTTTTGCGATGTTCTTGTATTTTGTTCAAGTAAATAGAATTTGATTTGTTCTCAAATGAATTAATTCAAAAAAGTCCGAATTAATTCAAAGAGTCAGACTTTTTTGACTTTTTTATAAAACTCATGACTTATTCCAACCCTGTCTTAAAATGGCCAGACAAAAGTCGAGGAGAAGGCAACGAAGTGTCAAGCATAGCAACAGACGTTGACAGAATAACAGGACAAATGACAGTGACATTTGATACAAACCCAAATGACATGCACAATATAAGATTACATTTTGAGTTATGATAATGTTGCAGTAATTTTCTGAAAAATGAACTGCCCCAGCCGTTCATTCTGCCCCAGATCACTACCACCATTTAATCCTGTGGAGTGAATGAAGTGGAAATCCAAAAATTATTTATATAATAATAATAATAATAATAATAATTTATTCACAAAAATGATAGTACAGGGGTGAATAAAGAATATACCACGAAGCAGTGGACTGCTTGTTTGTGGACGCATTCTACAGTGGTTCTTATAAAACTAACATAGATTTGTTTATACAGAGTAAATAAGAAAAAGTGAAATATAATATATAAAATATGGAATGAGTAAAATATATATAAAAAATATGTGATACACTGATATAGGGCGAAGATACAATTTTATAGAGTTTCATGTAAAGATAAAATACAATAGTTTAAAAGGTTATGATTAATTAAACATGTTATACTATATATATATATATATATATATATTATTATAATATTGAATAAAATTTATTTATTTGTAGGTCCCCCACCCCAAAAAAAAACATTATACGAGTATAACAGCACCCACCCTTTAATTATTCATTCTTCCCAAGGAATACCTGTGATGATATATACAGTCATTCACACTTTTCTTGATAATATAATTATCAATCTATATTTTCAGGATGAATATAATATTTCTTCCATTAATGTGCCTGGGAATAGTATCAGTTCACGCTTTGCCAGAACCATCTGTTACTCCAACCTCAGGATACACGAATGATCTCCGAATTAATGGATTTGGATCGACGATCAGAGGATTCAGACCCACAACAGTAGCCAGTAGAGAAGAGGAAGAATATATATATGACGATGAAATCGACAAGTAAATATAAACTCATCATTCTATGCATGACCTCATTCTATACGGAATTATAAATAAAAAAATATTCAGCTGTTCATGAGTAACTGCAGACAAAAAATTCTATTTCACAACTCCAACACCCTGTATCTCGAGAACTAAATACTTGAAGACGGTATGTATGTACCTACCTCAGCAATCATGAAAACACCCTATATATTCCTCTACTAGAGGCATTTGAAATTGATCAATCGTTTGTTCTGAAGTTTTATCATCATAGGTATACGATTTTTATTCCTGAATCTGAATCTCCAAAATGATGGCGTATCTATATTCATCAAATTCAACTAAACATTCAAACTCAATAAACTCTGATCGGATACATAGTGGATTCTTCATGAGAAATATGCAGTTGAGCTTTCCTAAGCCTTGAAGTCTTGTTAAGTAGGATGATTCCGATAAGGTTTATCGAAGAACTATATTAATTGTTTTATCCCAATCAAAATCATAGCTAGAAAAAAATTCATAAACAAAATTATGGAAAGAACATGAAAACTATTTTATCACGCCATTGATGAAAAATCAAAATAAATTGTCGAAGATACTCCGCGAAATTTTTTTTTCATAATTTTCCATAAAGAACCTGCGAAGTTAAACCAATGTTTGAAGAAGTCAGAGTGAGAAGTCATTCAGTTTCATTAGGATGTCTCTGGATGTTTAGTTCAAATGATAATAACAAATTACGCCGGATTGCTCTCGAATTCCACAGACAATTTCTCAATGGAAGACCAATATAAACCTTTTTTTCCACCACAAGCTTCAGAACCTACCATTATTTACTCTTTTTCAACGCGCAAGATTAGTAGTTCTCGTCATTTTATGAACTATTAGCCAATGAAGACTGTTCTGTTGCGAGATTCACAGAAATGACATAGGAATCTAGAAATAACGACTTGTCATAATGATGTCATAATCATACTAATCAATTAGGATGGAAAATACAGGGTGTTTCATGAGAAGACTCACATAGCCAAATGGTTAATAGGGGAAATCAAGACGAGTTGATGTATATATATGAAAACATTTTTTGACCCTCTATAACGAAGATACAGGGTATTATGTGAAATTGATATACATATTTCTTTGATGGCCGATATTACAGAAATGATTCTTCGTAATCTGCTGAAATTTGGCAGCGATGTATCTCTACTAAAACAATTCAAGATAGCATATTATGAAAAAAATACCCAGGTCCGGACTTGGAAAAATTTCATGTTTCATTGTTATGTCAAAAAAGTTCACTTTGTGACCACTTCTCTCGAAAAATTCAGATTCAGAAAGATTATACAAAATGCGATAAGAACTGCTCTTCAATTTACTCGGCACACTTTGACCGGGCAAAATCGTTCGAATGAATTTTCAATTTCGACCTGGCTGATAACTCAACTTTCCGGACCTGGATTTTTCATTCCATATTATGTTATCTTGGACAGTTTCAGTAGAGATACGTAGCTGCCAAATTTCAGCAGATTACGAAGATTCTGTAATATCGGCCATCGAAGTTATATAACAATTTCACATAATACCCTGTATCTTCGTTATGGAGGGTCAAAAAATGTTTTTATATATATATATATATATATATATATATATATATATACATCAACTCGTCTTGATCTCCCCTATTAATCATTTGGATATGTGAGTCTTCTCATGAAACACCCTGTATAGGTGCTTTTTTCATAGTGACAATAGGTCCATATTTCAGTTTCACAGAACTATATAATAAACCTTGGTAGTGAAAATAGTTATTTATTATACAAGGGAAAAAAGTAATAGATTTTAGCTCCAGGTTGTGTTGTCTCCCGACGCGTAGCGGAGGGAGACAAAAAACCGTGAGCTAAAATCTAATATTTTTCCCGTGTATAAATACACTATTTTTTTCTGTGACAGAAGGAAGGGCGAATCAATATTGAGAAGATATTACATTATTTCGAAATCTGAAAATTATCGACGAATTTCAAGTTTTTAACAGTAGGGACACCTGCGTTTTATAGGCATCTTTATCATTCTTTTGAAGTAATCAAATATCTGATGTCACTTCTGTCAGTTCAATTCTGTGATTCGATTTTAAAAAATTGCGAATTCAGTAGTTGTTTAGTAATATACGAAACCGCGAAGTCGAATGGAGGATAAAAGGACTTGCAGTTCTTTCTCGGAGACGGTATTATTGACTCATTTTTCGGAACTATAGCAGAACAAAAGCCATTAACAGAGTATATATATGTGATATATATCCGGGAAAAAAGTACTCACTTTTTTCCCACGGGAAAAAAGTAATTTATGAAAAGTGACATTTTATAACCTGCCAACAGTGATGAAATGCCAAATTTTTTTCCCGTCATAGAAAAAATATTATTAGCACGGGACCTCATACCCATCGATTGAAACCTAGGGAAATGATCTTGATCCCTGAGTATAATAATGATATTCTTTGCTATCTTGGCGTATGAAGTATAAAAAACAATTTAGTTGGTAATCTTCTATGTCGGTTAGCTCGAATAAAAGTTATTGATACACTGATATAGTGACGAATATCATTATTGCCCAGGGAACAAGATTATATCCCGAGGCTTCAGCCGAGAGGTATAAGGTCTCGTGCGGTAATAATATTCTTCAATACCAAGGTGTATATTGATTTTTTTTCACTCCTAGCAATTCATTTCAACCATTCTAGTTCTGTAGAACTGGAATATGTAAAAACACACTTTACGTCTTTACGTCTTAAAAGGAGTAAATAATGGTAGGTTCTATTGCTAGTGGCGGAAAAAAAATTATTGTTGTTTCAGTGAACCTGAACAAAGTCAAGACAGAGCTCCTACATACGCTAACCAAAACTACCCTATACAATTAAAAACGACGCTGCAACCGAACCAGAACTATCCGATTCCAGTAAGGGCGGCAGGCAATAAGATTTACCCGACGAATCCACCAAAATTTGAAAGAAGACCACAGCAACATCAGCAACAGCAGTTCGTCAGACGTGGAGAACAAATACAGGTATAATTTCTTTTGTTACAGGGTGTTTCATCTATTTTTGGAAATATTCCACCTAGATTAAATGAGGTTACACACTGAGTTACAGTTATTTGAAAATTCAAAAACTATATGTACCTGGAGTACGACAAGAGCAAGTGAATGGTTGATCCATCCCAAATTCTACGCCACTGGCGGGAATTGCAATTTTAGTACAAATTTTCGATTCTCCAATACTATTTGAATATCAGACTTCCTCTTCATAGCAATGAAGGCATTCTTTTTCAAGATATTTCGAACTTTGAACATAATGCTGCCCAATTATTTTGAATTCGATGTGTGTATTGATTATGTCGATATTTTGTATCAATGTATTGCATTCATTAATCAAATAAAAGTTCGATCCATATCAACAAAAAATTGAATTGAACAGCTCGTGTCTGTTATGTTATGATTGAAGTTCCATTTGATTGATAAATGGAATGCAATGATCCAAAATATCGACATAATTGATGCACAAAAAAACCAAAATATTGTGCAGCATCATGTTCAAGTTGAAATATCTTGAAATTTTTTCGCTATTAAGATGAAGTACGATATCTACGTAGGAGGTGTTGGAGAATGGAAAAATTATGATGAAATGGCAATTCCGCCAGTTCCGTAGAATTTGGGAAGGATCAACCAGTCACTTGCCCTATCGTAAACCATGTGAACATTTCAAAAGAAAATTGTCATATATTTCAATGTCAATACGTTATGTCGTTACTATGGTTTCCATCAACTGGATACCAAGATATCCACAGTCATATCTGATTATCATAATTATAGTTCTTTCCGGCCTAGTCCATCAGGAAGAAAAATCGTCCGGGAAGTATGGGTACCATCCAGATAGTTGCTGAAAAAGTAACACCTTAGAAAATTAGTTGAGCACTGTTCAATCACTGACCTCCTGGTGTTTTCAACAATCTGCTCTTCTTAATTGAAATTAAAAATCAATGTACACATTGTATATGATCAACATCAATAAAATAAACATGAACTATAATAGTGATAGAAATCGAATACTGTGAATACTTAATTGAGGAATTGAAAATCAGCTCATTTATATTAGAAAGCGTTGAAAGTTTAATCGATTTTATTGCCCAAAATAAATGCCCAACTTGAAATACCGCACGTTTACACAGTAGGAAAGAAACACGGAGTATATGATAATAGTTGAATACACCAATTCATCATACATGTGATCCTGAACTACAATATGATGCTGATTTCTTTTTTCAAGATCCAGAATAATTATTCTTCCCTTTACTCCAGACCCCAGGAATCGATAGAACTCGATGAGACAAAAAATATTTTTCAATTAGAAACTTCTTGAATCGTTTTTCTTTCGATTCAGATAGAGTACCTCATTTATGTGATATAGTATTAGAATACGAACATCTCATGTATGTGTGTTCCTGTAGCAATTCCTAACCATTTTCGGATATCTGATTGAAATTTCATTGATTTGAACGAATTCGAAGAGTAATTGAATATTTCCATGTGGAATATTCAGAATGCTCCATGTGATAATATGAGAACACTAAAAAAGTTACAAAAAATTCATGCTTTTTTTATGGCACATGTGTATCAGTGAAAATGAACAACCAAAAATTTACAGAATACGATAAATCGAAAACGGTTAGGAATGACCATTCGAAAAGCATCCGTCTCATAACCTTTGCATAGGTAAGTTGATATGGTCATGAAAATACGAGGTAATCTTTGGTAGAAGTCCATAATGTTCAAAGTGGAGTGGCATTTTCAAAAGGGAGGAAGGAATGCTCGAAGTCATCTCCACAAATTTCAATGGTGTTGTTAGACGATCAGAAGGGACATGTTTCGATCTTATAAAAGACCATCTTTAGCCTAATTGATAGTTCTACAATACAAACAGATTGATTCGAAATGATTACATTATTTGTTCTTGAAAAGTGTGATGCTACTAGCTGTAAAATTGTTGCCAAAGCCTTACTTCAATCCTTCCTCTGAAAGATACGAAGTGTTCTATTCGAATATTTTAGGGCATGAAAATGAATCAGGAATATCGAACATCTGTTCTGTTCATCAGATAGCATTATGATTTTTTCTTATTAAATTCCACAATCGCGACGACAGGGCTTTCATAGAAATAAAATCATTACATTCAAGTGCTTCAGTCGTAGTCAATAAAATGCTTGAAAAAATGTGCTGATATACATAGCATTCCATTAAAAAAAAAGCCTACCATAGACCCTTCAGATTTGTTTGGTGCGCCCACATTCGTTTTTGAATAGCTACTGTTCCTGTCATTGGACTCAAACAATCGGACTCTTATGCATTATACTACTGTCTATCAACAAGATTGAGATATTCGAGATTTTCGTTCAAAATAATATGTAATTTTCAATGTCATTTATCTGTTTCAGTGCATTGGTTCAATGAAATTGTCAATGGTATCTAATTCAATTCCTGGAGTACATCTCAGTCATGAAAACTATATATATCTGAGTACACTTTGGAAATAATAACTCATGAATTTACTTTTGGATTTGCTGAAAAAACTAATTGATTTTGTTGAACTCGTTTTTCTGTGGCACTAATATTAATCACACTGATTTAGACAATAATTCAGTATAATACAATGATTAATATAATTGTAGGAAGTGAATCAACTAGCAGAAGAGAAAGAAATAGAAGAACCAGACAGGCTGAGCTTGTTGCTACCACAGTCCAAATTCCACTGCAATGGAAAAAATACCGGTTATTATGCTGACGTAGAATTGGATTGTGAAGTATTTCACTATTGCCAGGAGAACACCAAACATTCTTGGATATGTCCAGAAGGATTCAGCTTCCACCAGGTATTTACCCAAAATGATCCCTTCAGACTCGAAGATATATGATTATAATATTTAGTCAGATAACTGATAATACATAACAAGGTCAGATCAATGTTTTCATGTGCATATAGAAACGTTCCAATCAATCAGAATTCTTTCAATCTTATCACAAACAAGGACTTCTATGAACACTTCTCTGTTACTCTGGGAACCCAGTAATAATCTCTTGATCTTGTGTAATTTTCATAAACATCTTGATTATAGTTCTCTTTGGACCTTGTGGAACTGGCTTTGAAAAATGGCGGAGGTACAACTGTATCCCGAAAAATGCATTGCAATTTGGGCATTTCGAGGTTTTCGATAGAATCTACACAAAGATGACAAATTAAATAACTTGAGTGCTCCTATATATTATTTGGTAGGATCCAATGCCGACAGCCTGAAATTTTAAAATAATTTTTGAACGACTTGAAATTGTGGCGAAGGTTCTTAGTGAAACTCCAATTTCTTCCAAATCAAGGCAGTTAAAGGCGGATTTATGCTCGCTTAATTTTCATCTTTCATTAATTATTTCCTAAAAGATGACCAACTATTATCTCTTAACGACGAATACAAGTAAGTATAAGTGTGATTTGCACAATTCTGTCGAAGTCAGACAAAACAATTTCTTCGTCTTATTTTTTCAAAATCTGGTTGAACATTCAGAAAATTCTAGTTACCTGTTCAAATCAGACTTTGAGAACAATATTGATAGATTACTCTTATTGTAATAATATGTGCAGTAGAAATTAGAACACAAATATTTTCATATGGCTAGGTACGCTGAGGACTATGTTTTGATCATGAAGAAGATTTTGAAGTTAAAAAAAGGTTGTGCATGAAGGCATCAAAGTCCTTAAATGAAATTAAATTTATTGACAGGTAATGAATTGATCGATAATTATATTGAAACCATTAATACTAGGGGTAATTGAAATTTCAGAAGACTTCTTTGTACCTTTTTTTGTTACTTTGGGAACTAAGAATTGATCTATCATGTTCTTGAACATTCTGATTATATTGTCTTTGGGTCTTGTGAAGACTGTATTTAAAATATGGCGAAGGTGATATACATATTGTGTCCTGAAAATTGTAGTCTGGGAAGAAATCCGCATGCACAAAGATTGAAATTTGAAACGCTAGAGTGCTCTTATGTACTTCGGAGGATCCAATGCCGACAGTCTGAAGTTTTGAAATAATTGTAATAAGTGACTTCATATTGTGGCGAAGGAGCTGATAAGTGTCGATCGAGATGTATTTTGAAACTATCTATACTAGGAGTAGTTTATGTAGTGAAAAACTTCTATAAACAATTTTATGTTACTCTGGAAACATCCTGATTATAGTTCTCTTTGGATCCGGTGAAGACTGGCTTTAAAATATGGCGAATGTGATACTTGTGTCCTGAACATTGCGTTGGAGCGGTTGGAGTCTGGGAATTTCAAAATTTTCGATGAAATCTGTTTGCTCAGAGATCTAAATTAAAATTGCTAGAGTGCTCCCTACATATTTATCATTTGAGAGGATCCAATGCCGCCAGTCTGAAAGTTTATAAAGTAGAATCGGGGATTATGGAACACCGTTTCAATTTTTTGAGTTATTCCGGAAACTATTGAATGAAATATAAATTTGAAATGGTGATGGTGTAGCTCAGAAATTTATTAGACCGAATCATGATAACAAATCTACATAATAAAATAATATTTTGGATTATTGACAAATACTACATTTCTGTAGACCGAAAAAATGGTCGGATAATATAAAATACCTATAGCAGATATACAGTATGATGCAAATGTATAGAATAAATTCATTATTTCAGAAATGGGCGACATTTTAAAAAATTCCAGAAACACGTGAGGTTTCATTTTCGAAGCCTCATCTCATGATATCCATATGAGAGATGTTACGTCACCGGTGTTGGAGTAATGACGTATTGAACGATTTTTTCAAATGAAAACTGGGGTCATGTGACACCTCGTTTGAAAGGTCTACTGATCGTCTATTCACCAGTCAAAATCTTGCATGAGAAAATTGAAATTGAAATGGATTATCATTTGATTAACTGAATCTTGCAGAGGTCTGCTACTGAGAATTGAACAACGAAGGGTCGTCTATTTAAAAAAATACATTCAATTAATAAAGTTCTGAAGTCTAGTTTTTGGATTTTTTTCGGAAGTCGTCCTGTTTTGAGATGAATTTATTCCATACATTTGCATCATACTGTGTATATTTGATGTCTATACTAACGACAAAATCATGGAGTTATCGTTGTTAGCATTGGTACATAGTTCGTGTGCCCAAATCTTAGGCTTTGTATCCACTGTTCATATCTACTATAGTGGATGAAAGAATGGATATATCCATTATTCTGTTTCTGCTATCACTCCGTTTTTTTTCATCTTCCTCATTCCTCTTCTTACTTTGTGGAGTTTTGGTATTATGGAATACTATCTCATAATTGCCGCCTATATATTTCTTCAGAGGTTGAACATAGTTGATAAACTACATGAACAATAATATGAAATCGAATCACTTCCAAATGTGAAATATAAATATAATAAACTCACCTAAAAATTTCTTGAGCACCGAAATTCAATCAACTATTAGAACTGTCAGGAACGATAGATACCTATAGAATAACAATACTTGCTATGAACTCAATGGAATGATATGTATTTCCGTTAATTGGTCGCTTTCGAGATTCAAAGCGATACCTTTACGATGGATATGAGAAATGCATGATTTTGTAAATATTTCCTGAACGCTAAGTGGACAGTTTTCTTCATTCTCGAAAACGTCCCACTCCGGAACAAATTTATAGAAAGTTCACTTGTTCTTTTGACGTCAGCAACACGAGAAAAAACACTACAATAAGTAGATATCAATTTGACACCGTCTTATAGAGCTATGAGTACGAGTGACTATTCGAAATGGCACTCAAGAGTCCAAGAAATTATCTCTCAAGTGTATAAATTAGATACGTACCTTATACCTCAGGAGTATTATCTTTCATTTTGTTTCAGGTTCATTTGATTTGCATGCCACCAGGCGGTGAGAACGTTTGTGAAAAATCCACAGATTATCATTTCGTGAATGATTACCTGTACAAACCTCTCAATTTAGAAGAGCATCAACGAAAACCCAACATAACTCTGGTATATTCCGACAGGTATTATCCAGAACAGTACCGATCTAGATACGACGAACAGGAAGAAGACGATAGGCCTGTACATCATCAACACTCTGTAAGTTGATGCCCAGAAGATATTACCTTCATTATATAGAGTGTCCCATTGGGAAACGGAAAAATGTCAACGTTGGGTAGAGCTCATCGAGGTGGTTCTGAATATACCATATTAGTAGGGTCTTTCCAGTTTTATATCCGAGATATAGGGTGTTTTATAAATGTTGTTTAAATGTATGTGACGACATAACTTAAGAACCACCTAGTATATTCTTTTGGAATTTGGTACACGATTTCTTCTTTTTTTGCCCAAGGTAGAGAAAGGAGAACTTGTGTACGGAATTCCAAATGGATATACAGGGTGGTTTGTGGCAAATTTTGTTATTCGATTTTGAAACATTCCATTTTTACCTATCCAAATGCATGAAACCTCAAATTCAAAATCAGAAATTCTTTGGTGAAATTATATGCGAGAAGATAAAAAGTACATCATTCGGATTAAACTTTTTGTGTACTTTCCAAATATGTAAGCGGATTATGAAAATTTCAAAATACAGGTTGTTCCTTTTGGGATCTAGAAATATGATGATTTTTCGTTAATCTGGACCTGGATTTTTCTTATGACTGATAGGTGAGTTGCTTGGGTAGAAAAAGAAGGAATCGTGTACGCCTACTAAATTTCAAAAGAATATACTGGGTGGTTCAGGAATTGATCAAAATTGATAAAACACCATATATTTGTTTTTATGTTCTGATTCCCACGAGAAGCGATATTCTGTAATGTTCAGAGAACATCGTGAGAACCAAGGAAAATACGGTAGGAATTGGTGTTCTTCTTGAATTTTTGGAGGTTATATGCCTCGGGGAAACACCTTCCTTGGTAATGTGTTCCCGAGCCTCGCTATTCGATGGATGAACGAGTCTTTGGATAGAGATGTCCTGCAGGTCTCCAAAGTGGCCACGAAGGGGTCGTGCAAAGCCTCAACTCGACAGATTGATTTCGCAGGGACTGCCAAGGGAGGAACAATTGTTGATATTTCAGAAGAGCATCGTCCATGAAAATATCTATAGAATAGAGCCAGATCGACAACTTTTCTACGGTATTCCAGAGAAGTAAGTGAGTTTGTGAGCCTTACCCACAGGACGAATTGCCCTTTTTTGGACAGAATCCAACAGTTTCAGGGTATGTTTGGGTGCTGCACTCCGAATATGGGAACAGTATTCCAGGACAGGCGGATCTGTGCCTCATAGATCATAAGCAGCTGACTGGAAGTGAATTAGCTCCTGGCCCGAAACAGAAAACCAAGTTTTTGGGATATACAACTTGTGAGACCCTACAAATATGATATATTCAAAACCAACTTGATGAGCTCCACCCACCGTTGAAGTTTTTCCGTTTCCAATGGAACATTCTGTATATGAGACCAAACTAATCGTTTCAGAAATATCGAGAAGAGATACAGATTTCTTTTGAAAAATAGGAAGAAAGTTGCGTGATGGTAACACAATAATTTTTGTCTGAGGATAGGTTATGTTAGATTCCACCGCGAGGCGAGACTTCATATGGGTCTTTTGTATCTCACCCTTAGAGGTTTACAGTTCATTGTACAAACCCTTTTTTTCAACAGTCCATGGCCGATGAGTTGAGATTTTCCTGAAATATGTACTGGTGAAACCAAATATGTTGAATCTCAGACTCGCTATGTCACAATTCGTAGGTCGCTACTGCTCCATTCTACGATCTTTCTGATGGTTATATTTTTCGATGATTTAGGTAGGAACGCCTTCAATCCCGGTAATTCAGACATAATCAGACCAGGACATAATGTTTGGAAGCATATATGGATTTTAGCGCCCCTAACGAATAGGGAGAAAGTAATTGGAAAAAAGAGCGGTCAATTTGATTTTCCACATTGCTACCGCAGATGGGCATGAGTTCAAAATTAGCGAAAACTATTTTGAATCTTCAATGAAAAATCAATTTTTCCAGAAAAATTTGACTCCCTGTAGCTCAAAAACGAAAGTATCTAAATAATATATTCTGTGAACATACTTGGAGAATATACTCAGAATATTCGAACTATACATTCAATGATCATCCAGGTGATTCTCATTATATTCTATAAATATTATTCGGAATATTCTGAAAGAGGTATGTTGTGAATGTTGTGAAAACATTATAATAGAATATTCTGTGCTGTCTGGGAATAATGGGCGTGTACACCTTAGTAGAACTTTTAACTCAAACCATGTTAATAATGATCCTTTTATACATAAATGATGATTGACGACATAATTCGATCGAAAAATTAACTGGAATGTTTTATTTTTGGACATAAATAATAGTTCCTTCTGAAAACGGATCCTCTTATGACGTAGAAACCTCATCTCGCCATAGTTAAAAGAAAATACCAAACGCCCGACGGAGACTGAGGCAACTGATAAGTTAATAATTGATCTCGCGCTAATTCACTCTGTCAGAAATCATGTATCATTCATTTCTGTCTGGAATAGTCTTGTTTCAGTATTAGGGTTTTGACGTCACATCATCGCCTCGTTTTCAGAGGTCCGAAAAATCGGGGATTTCAATAATTTTACATAAAGTAGGGAACTCACAGCAAGAAACGGTTTGCGGTAGTGAGCTAGTTTGGGTGAGTTCTATCGGATTATGAAATAATTTTTTTTTGTGATATAAGCCCATTATAATACACTTTGAGTGTCATAAATATAGATTAAATCACTGATCCTCAGGAGCTGTATATAAATTAGATAGTTTTCGATATCTCATCGATGTGCTTTGATAGAGTTGCCGTTTTCATTCTCATTTGCAATTGAACTTCTCAGATTCGAGTTACTGGACAACCACGGCTCCAGTACGCATCCCCAACAACTTTGAGGCCACACCTTGCTCAAGGGCAAGTATTCAGATCACCCGAAGAAATCAACATCTCTCTTCAACAGAGGAGACCTCCTGCCCAACATTACGTTACGGAATATTAGAACTTTCTTATTGATTAGAATATTCATTATATTAACATTACTGTTACGTTTATAGTCGTCGAATTTTAGGAACCATAATTTTTGTATATAGGATTGAAGTTACCTATAGATATTATTATAATAATGAGGTAATATATTGTCAAATAGGTAGTTACCAGTGAATTTTGTACTTATGTTTTTTTCATAATCTATGATTTCGAAACTATGGAATGAATATTAATCCTAATGGTAGTAAGTACAAGCTAAATTATTTTAATTATATTATACATTAGGATTTAGGAATATGTTGTTGATTATTATATTTATCTGCTATAATCGATTCGTTGAAAATACTCCAGTTGAGAAATGATACTCATATAGAACATGAATAAAACAATTATTATTATTTTTCCCTTGTAATAGTGGAAAGTGTTTCGTTACTGTCCAAAAATTGTCCGAAATCGCTCCCGCCTGTCAGAGAGAAGTGAGGTTAAGGTGTATCTGTATGGGTTGCGTGCAAGAACTGTCAGATGACCGACCCTGGAGGTGAAACATTGAAACACAACCTCACTTTCCTTATTTCTTTACAAGTGATTGAAATAGTTTTTATTGACATGCCATCACATTGTGCTGTTGTACAATGCACAAAAAATGCAGAGGGAGACGAAGGAATCCGGTTGGTACATACATCATGATTGAGAACTAAGTACCTACTATAATCGTCACTCACATATAGTTTTCATTTTTGAAATTTGGCAGCTTCTCTGATATCTCATCGGAATTCCTTCTGCAATAGAAACTAATAGAAATACTCGTGAAATTTCTGAAATAATACATGAAGATTGGATTCATGCAACCAAACGGGGGGACTGGTCTGACATGCTGACGAAATATGATCGTGTGTGTTGTAGACATTTTCAATCTCTCGGCAGTATTAGCTTCAATTGCAGAAATGGCAAAAGGAATTTAAATAAGAAATGACAAAATCTCATAATGAACACTATGTGAGATTACTATTCACCTGAAAAATCAAATTCCTTCGTCTTTCGCTGCATTTTTTGTGCATTGTACAACAGCACTATGAGAAGGCATGCTTGAATTGATGAATAGCGCAAAATACACGATTCGTATGCCAAAATATTGTGAAAAACTATTTCAGTCCTTCGATTCCTCCGTAAACAAATAAAAAAAGTGAGGTTGTGTTTCAATGTTTCACAGAAGAGTGAGGTTGTGTTTCAATGTTTCACAGAAGAGTGAGGTTGTGTTTCAATATTTCACCGACAGGGTTGGTCATCGTACACGCGACCTCTTCTGTCCTCAGTTCAGATATTCTCGAGGGACACTAAGGCACAATGAAGGTGCACAATATAGCAGTGAGGCATCATTATAACGAATACTCCATTTACAGATTCACGATATCAAACTTGGTTTCATGGAGCGTGTGCATTCATTCAGTATCTGTCATACAATATTATGAACCAGGAGATGGTGGCATGTGACGTTCGCCCATTTTACACCGCATGCCTTTTAAAGGCTTTATAATTAACCCCAAAGTGTTTTTCCGCGATATAATACTCCCTGCCGTTGCAATATATGGAAGTTCAAATAGACTGAAGCGCTAATGATTGATGACTCCCAAAACCTCAGATGAAAATTTTGAATAGAATCGGAACATAATTACAAAACTCGTCCGGAATATTGGATCTACCATCTTGAATTTCCTAATTTTGACGAAGGAATCATAATTTTTGATCCGGATAACGCTCTCTTACAAATTAGAAATAAAATCGGTATATATAATTACAAAACTCGTCCAGTATATTGGTTCCACCGTCTTGAAATTCCAAACCCCGCCCTCTCCAAATTTTGACAAAAGAATCATAATCTCCGACCCCGAAGACACCCAGATAACAATTTTGAAGAGAGTATCGGATCATAATTACAATACTCGTCCGCCATATTGGGTCCGCCATCTTGAATTTCCTAATTTTGACGGAAGAATCATAATCTCGGACCACGAGAACCACCAGTTACCAAATTTGAATAAAATCGGATCCTAATAACAAAACTTGCTATTTTGAATCCGCCATATTGAATTTCTCAATTTTGACGAAGGAATCATAATCCCAGATCACGAATTTGATTCTGAAAATAATCGGATTATAATTACAAAACTCGTCCGCCATATTGGTTCCGCCATTTTGAATCTCCAAATTCTGCCCTAATTTTCAAATTCTGACGAAAGAATCATAATCTCCGATGCTGAAAACCCCCAGATACCAACTTTGAATAGAGTCGGACCATAATTACAAAACTCGTCCGATATATCAGATCCGCCATCTTGAATTTCCTAATGGTACCAGGATAAGAAGTATCCTATATCCTTCTCCTGGTTCTAAGCTACCTCCCCACCAATGTTCAGCCAAACAAACAATCAAATCATTCCTTTTTATAATATTAGTATAGTTGGTAATTTGGCGTGCATTTTGCAAAATGAAGGCATGCATGACAAAAGTTGCAATAATATAGTAATTTTCCTAACAAGTGCGGAAAGTGATTCTTTTCCGCACGCGATTGCCGTTGACACGAACGACGCGAAGCGGAGTTCGGGCAAGCAGTCGAGTGCGGGAATGATACTTTCCGCATGAGTTAGGAACAATATTTTTTCTACACGCGTAGGAAGTTGATTGATTTGTTCAATTGATTATTCATTCACAACTAACAAGAGAGAGAAATATATTCTCTATCTACTGATTATTATAGTAATAGCTATTGTGAACTTACAGTTTGACGCATTATGTAAAGGTTCATTGCGGAAGCCAGCAGGCCCATAAGGTGTTTGGTCTCTAGGTTTCACACACTTCTAGGAAATGAGCCAAAAATACTTCTTCTTCATCCGGTATTTTCATTGCATCCCTATAGCTGGAAGTTTTTGATCACATTGTGGCAATTCCACTGAATCGAAAACGACAGTAACGCTGTGTCTGTCACTTCGACAATTACAATCTCATTTGAGGTTTGATTTGCATGACAACAATAATCGTTTCTCATCAGATCAATCCAAATCTATAGGGGGATTTTTATAATAATACATTTTTATTTTTCAATATTTCTTAATTTTCACATTAAATAGTGCAATTTGATGGATGATTCTGAACATACATACTTAATACTGCAACAAACAAACTCAAACTCTCATATTCCATCACCTACCAGTTATATTTTGCCTTATATGTTCCACTAGTGTGGAAAAATTTTCCGGCAATGTTGCGGGAAAATTACACTTCCCGAACTAAATTGCGTGCGGGTATAGGGTGAATCACGCACGCTTGTAGAAAAAGTGTTTTTTGCAACTTTCGTTGTCCGAACACCAAGAGAGATATGACTCAATGTCAAACGAAAACACAGCATATATCCAGTTTCCAATCAACAGCGGAAATACAGTGTTTCATAATACCACCTGGGAAGTCGATAAAGTTAAAGGTTACTGATAACAATTTTCCGCTAGCAACCACAGGTTTTTGTTTCTGATGCGCGTCATTCACAAGTCCTCGCTCATTCTTATTCATAAGTAGTTTTTATGGTTATACTCCTATAGTATACAGAATTTGCATAAAATATGTCATCTGAAGGAACACCATAAAAATGGTGGTCTTCGAATCAGCATGTGAGGTTGCCAAACAGGCTGGAAGCCCAGGTGTGTACCTACAATATAAATCATTTCTGGATTTTCAACCGCAAGTACTGGGCGACAATCAGTTGCTCATATGCCTTCATCACAACAGTATAAGTAGATCCGAGTACTTTAGGCGAAAAATTTGCTCATCATTCAAACCAAGGTACGACTGGATGTACACCTACCTTCCAGTTGTCGAAATGAGCTCTGTCAACAACTCGAACTTTTTTACATTTAACGAACAGCGGAAAATATGCATTTTTTCCACTACTAGCAATAGAACCTACCATTATTTACAGTAAAGTGTGTTTTTACTACCAAGTGAGTTTTCGTCATTTTATGAACTACTAGTCAATAAAATCATAGCCACCTCTGCCATGATTGACCCGAATTCACTGATTTGAGGCGAGATTCGCAGGAATGGCACTCGAATCGTCCAATGGCTAATAGATTTTGATTAGAATTGAAAATAAGAGCTTTCAGTAACAATATCATATTATATTTCAGTTTCACAGAACTAAAATGATTGGAATGTATTGCCAGTGGTGAAAAAAATTGATATAGGTACACCTTGGAAGTGAAGAATATTATTAGCATGAGACCTTATAACCCTCGGCTGAAGCCTTGGCATAAAATCTTGGTCCCTGTATAATACTGATATTCTTTATCACCTTGGTGTATAATTTACTAATTTATCTCTAGAAGTTGTTTCGAAAACTCAAGCATTTGCTCCAAAAAAAGTTGCGAGAGAAAATATCTTAGGGGTTGAATATTTCAACCCCTTCTAAGAATACTTCATGATTGAGAACATTACAGAATTTTCAGTTTTGTTGACGAATAATATTTACCTAGAGTCGTGTCTTCAGCTCAATATACAGGAGAAATACAGAAGGAAAACCATTTTTTGAAAATTTTCAGATGGGTGCCACTTTTCCGGGGATAGGTTTTCCAAAAAATTATATACCAACCACCCACCTTAATTTTCATCACAGAATCACCCCTCGAATTTTTCCGGTGTTATTCAGAAGGCAACCATTTCAGTACAAAATTTATGACAATTTGAACGAAGGACAAACGACAGAGACTTTAAAGTTGTACACGAACCAGAAAAATTAATTGAGTGGCAGGACCTATATTGATTGGGTGACACAATATAGGAATTATTATCAGTGGCGGCTCCTCAGAGGAGGCAACGGAGGCTGAGCCTCCTCAGAGATTCTTCTTAAACCGATATTATATATACTTTCTCATCAAAAGGACACCAAAATACATGGATCTTCATTTTATTTCCTGTCTTTAGGTAAATATTTTTGAGCTGGCAACAGTGCTTGCCCACGCATCACAC